GTTTTGGAATTATGTTCATGGAAACTACGAGTAACATACTGTAAATCACAGAACCTTAATTTAAAAAATTAATTTTTTAAAAAGCCCATGTCTCTTGTATATAACACATATGTATATATATATATGCTTTACATTTGAATCACATTCCTGCCCTTTACATTATTTTTGATCTTTCAAATAAGTGTGTTCTGGTATTTTGTGTTTTAATTTGTAATTCTCTAACACAATAGGTTGTTGACCATCTTTTACTTATTTTGTTATCTGTATATCATTTTTGTGTGTGTGAGTGTGCTTTTTGAGTCACACCAAGTGATGCTCAGGGGTTGTTCCTGGCTCTTCACTCAGGAAATTCTCCTGGTGGTGCTCTGGGGGAACCATGTGGGATGCTGGGAATTGAACCCGTGTTGGCTGCTTGCAAGGCAAATGCCCTACCCGCAGTGCTATCACTCCAGTCCCTGTATATCACTTTGTGAGTGTGGTTTCTGCTCAGATCTGTTGACATTTTGTAAAAGTGGGTCTTTACAACATACACAACACACCAACAGACACAACATGCAACACACACAATGACATAGCATACAACCAACACACACACAATATGCACCTAACATACAATACATGTCAAATATACAACACAGAAGACACAACAAATACAGCACAAAACAAAACACACTATACAGATAATGCATGATGCACAACAAACACACACAATAAACTGAACAGACAACACACCACAATAAACATACCACAGACAAACACAACAAGCAACATGCAATCACAAGACATACAACATTACAGAGCACACAAAATACAATGCACAATTCACACAACACATCAAATAGACATATATACACAATACACTTAGCACACAATACACACAACATAAAACACACACACAATTAAATACACACATCAAACACAACAAAGCACCCATGCATCACACATGACACAACACAATGCATACAACACACAATATGCCACACATACCACACAATACAGCACATTAAAAATAACCCACAAAAAAATGACATGCAAAAAAGTACGACATACAGCTCACAAGACACAAAACACTGTAATGCACAAAAATAACACATGCAACAGTGCTCAGGAAACATATTGGTGCTGCGGACATATCTGAGTTGACTGAAAACAAGGCAAGCACCTTAATCTCCATATTATCTCTTTGCCTCATAGGTTGTATGTTTCCATATTGAATTTTAAGATTTGTATATTTCAAATAACTAAAAAAGATATTCTCAAGTTTTGTCTAAGAAAGCCCTTATTTCTCCTCTCTCCTTTATTTTTTAAAGCTAATTTTGCAGGGTAAAGATTTTATGTTAAAGGTTTTATTCCCCAACACTTTAAATAGTCACTTCATTTCTTCTTGCTTGTGTAGTTTCTGAAAAGTCAGATATAATCCCTTTCTTTTCTTTGCTCCTTTATGAGCAAGCTGCTCCCTAACCCCTGTCTCTACCGTTTTCAAACTGTATTCTTTGATTTTTCTGTAGCTTGAAATTATATTACTATATGCATGTGTGTGTGTGTGTGTGTGCGGAGGGGGTTGTTCTTGTTTATTGTCCATTCTTTTCAGATTGCCCTGAGATTCCTGGATCTATGCTTTGGAGTCTGACATTAACATGGGAGAAATTCTCAATCATTATTGTTTCTTTTTTTCTCTCCTCCATCTTAAGGCATCACTAGTGCACATAGAATACACCTGTTGTCATTGATTCCACTGTCACTGTCACTCTCCTCCCTAACTGCTCAAGCGGACCCAGTAACATTGTGAGACTTGTTGTTACTGTGTTCGGCATATCGAATACGTCAGGAGTAGCTTGCCAGGCTTTGCGGACGAGATACTCTGGGTAGCTTGCCTGGCTCTCTGAGAGGGGCGGAGGAGTCGAACTTGGGTTGGCCAGGTCGGCTGCGTGCAAGGCAAATGCCCTACCGCTGTGCTATCACTTCAGCCCATTGATTCCACAGTTTTTGAATATATTGTTCTGTGTTTTTTCTTTGGTACTTTTTCTTTGCTTTTTATTATTTAAATATTTGGAGATACTCTCAAGCTCAGAGATTTTTGTTTGTTTCTTTTTGGGGTCATGCCTGGTTATACTCTGGGTTCTGTACCCAGAAATTGCCCCTCGCTGTGTTCTGGGAACCATCTGAGGTGTCTGGATGGCCACTTGCCAGGGAAATGCCCTACCTACAGTACTATCTCAGAGACTCTTTTTTTTCTCCACCATTTCCAATTATAAAACTATTATACTAATTCTGCTACTGTATCTTTTATCTCACATCACATTTTTGTCTTATCCTCAAAATTCCAACATCCTACATATGTGTTTTTACATGCTTTCTACTTCCTACATTAGTCCTGATGACATTTTAATCTTAGTTGTTTCAATTACCAGTCTAATAATTAAAACATCCCTGCCATATTTGACAGTGCTTCTAATCATCTGTCAGTTCAATTTGCATTTTTTGCTTTTTAATGTTTTTTATAGTTTGCTTCTTTCTAACTGGACACAGTGTACTGGATAAAAGGAAATGTTATAAGTAGGCCTTTTGGGGCGAGTGATAGTACAATAGATAGGGCATTTGCCAGTGGGTGGGGCATTTGCCTTGCATGTTGCCAACCCGGGTTCAATCGCCTGCATCCCTTATGATCTCCTGAGCACCAACAGAGTAGTTCCTGAGTGCAAAGCAAGGAGTAATCATTGAGCATCACTGGGTGTGGCCTAAAACCAAAAAAAAAAATAAATAGGTTTTTAGTAAACTTAAGTTTGTTCTTATTTTCCACTTCAGATTGTTCATTCATAGTATAAAGAAAGACAAATGGTTCTATTTATTGATCTTATATCTAACACATGGCTATTAAAATACATGTGCAGAATTAAGACAAATTTCAGTTGCACATTCATCCATCTTTTAAAAAAATTTTTCATTAGTGAAACACCATGAGGTACAGTTGTAGACTTACAAATTTTTGTGCTTGGGTTTCAGTTATACAATGATTGAGTACCCATCCCTCCACTAGTGCCCATTCTCCACCATCACTGATCCCAGTATCCCTCCCACCCTCTTCCCCCCATCCCACTCTGCCTCTGTGGCAGGGCATTCCTTTTTGTTCTCTCTCTCCTTTTGGGTGCTGTGGTTTGCAATAGAGGCATTGACTGGCAATCTTGTTCATAAGAAAGGGCCATATCAATTTTGTCCGTAGCACTATAGCACTGTCCTCCCCTTGTTCATCGATTTGCTCAAGTGGGCACCAATAACATCTCACAACAAATTGTGAGACTTGTTGTTACTATTTTTGGCATACCGAATACACCACGAGGAGCTTGCCAAGCTCTGCCATGCGGACGAGATACTCTCAGTAGCTTGCCGGGCTCTCCAAGAGGGGCGGAGGAATCAAACCAAGATCCGCTGCGTGCAAGGCAACGCCCTACCTGCTGTGCTATCGCTTCAGACCCCATTAATCCATCTTAAAATAATTTGCAAATACAAGGGCCCAGCTGGATAATTAAGATAATATCAAAATCTAAATATCTCTAATCAATATATCTACAAGATACTTTTTCCAAATGAGATAACACTTAGAGATTCCCAGGATTAGGCTATGAGTTTTCTTTTAGGGTGGGATTATTTTTCGGCCTACCATAGTTGTCTTTATTTTCATTAAGTCCATATAATTTCTGATTCCTTTTATTATTTCTTCCTCAACAAATCATTCCAAAATTTCTTCAACACTTCTTATTTTGCTTTCTAGGAATGTTGCAGATATAGTTCCCTTATTGATTTATAGATTTTATTTTATTTTTTTTTTGCTTTTTGGGTCACACCTGGTGATGCACTGGTTTACTCCTGATTCATGCACTCAGGAATTACCCCTGGCAGTGCTCAGGGGACCTTATGGGATGCTGGGAATCAAACCTGGGTTGGTTGTGTGCAAAGCAAATTGCCCTACCCTCTGTGCTATCACTCCAGCCCCTGATTTCTAGTTTAAATCAAGTGTGGTCAGAAATACACTTTGGGCTAGAGAGTAGTGAGTACGTGCTTTCCTTGTATGCAGCCAACCCAAGTTTGATCTCCTGAACTCCAAATGGTTCCCCAAACTGGCCAGATATGATCCCTGAGCACAAAGCCAGGAGATAGCCCTGAGCACAGCTTGGTGTGACAAAAACAAAAAAGAAAAGAAAATGTGCTTTGTGGGGCTGAAGAGATAGTACAGCAGGCAAAGCATGTGCTTTGCATGAGGCTGACTAAGGTTCAAACCCTGGCACCACATATGTTCTTAAAGCCCACAAGTACTGATACCGGAATGCAGAACCATCAGAAAGCTCTTAGCATTGTCAAGTGTGACCCAAAACCAAAACAAAAATACTTGGGAAATCGTGCTCTGTATGATTTAAACACTGTGGTAGGGTTTAGACCCCACCTGCCAGTGCTTAGGACCATGATGTCCTGGAGATTGAACCCAGACTCCTGCATGCAAAATGTGTGGCCCTGACCATTGAGTTTTCTCCCAAACTCCTGACTGGAATTCTTTTTAAGTTTATTGAGAACTGTTTTATATAATCCGTCTATAGTTCATTTTAGTAAAACTGCTTCAGGTACCCTTGAAAAGAATGTACCTTATACTATTGCTAATTGGAATATTTTTGTGAACATCAATCAAGTAAATTAACTAGATAGTATTGTAAAAATGTCTTTAACTCTGCTGGTACCTGGCAGAGCAGTTAAACATGCAGTAATAAGTGACTCTGATTCCTTCTGCTTCCAAAAAATATTTTTTCTCTCTGCCTTCAGAACCCCTTCTAGTCTAAAGCTCTAAATGAGTATTTATATGTGTCTCACTGATTGGGACATGGGTATATATATATGTATATATATGTATATATATAGTTATATATATTATATATATATATAACAGGCATTGAAGAAATGTGTATTAAGTATAAGTCTATGGAGGAATTAATAGACTGATCGCATTAAAGAAGTCAACAGATTCTTGTGGACTTGTGACTTATGTGAAATCTATGAAATATTTGGTTTCTCTCACACAAAATAACAAGAAGCCTAGAAATATGGCTATGGCTACAGATGAGCATGAAAGGGCTGATAGTCGAGAAACATGCATCCAGGAATATATTTATGTCCAAAATCCACCATTCAGGAACAATAAGGAAAGTGACACAGGTAGAAGAAATGGAAGAAAGTGTGAAAAAAAAGACAAAGGTGCATCCAAGAATCAGAACACTCTGGGTAGCCTTTGTCTCTGGAGAGAGACTGGAATTGTGTCTGTAGTTGCGAATATACTTGACTTGCTGTTTGTGCCTGTGGAGAAAAAGCACCAAGGATCCACTGGTCCACATCAGGAAGCACAAGCAAATCACATCAATGGAGCCATGAAACAAGGCATGGTATATAGAATTGAGAGTAGCATAATCAGCACTGCAGTATATGAAATGGTTCTGAGTGGTGTTTCTTGAGGCAAACAGTTTCAAAGGAACCAATATGTTTCCCAGAAGATGCAGTACCCAGATCAAGAAACAGAAATGCTCAATATATTTTGGGGCTCTGACTTTGAGTTTAGTCCACCTGAACTTACTGGGAATAACTGTCATGGCCTGGAAAACACTCAGGAGGCAAGTGGAAGAGAGAGATACTTCCCGGGCCACTCTGTGAACATAAAACAAAAATTTACATCCATGATCATCTAGAAAATCGTTCCTCCCAAAAGATGTCATTATTTGAGGGATTCCCTTAGAGAGAAGGACCAAGCAGTTGGCTAGGCATAAATGTTTGAGTATGTGGTCTGAGAGTCGCAACTTGAGTCCAGTGCAGAAAACCAAGCAATACAGGACAAAGAAGGAGGAATTCCCCAGCATTCCAACACCAGTCTGGGACAAGAAGATAATCCCCACTGTCAAGTGGCGAGAACCCATCCTGTCAGTGGTTGAGAATGGCAATTTTATTCATATTCAGAATTAGCTTTAGAGAAAACAAAAGATCAAAGTTAGTTACATTGTAAGTGAAATCCAATGCTGATACATTCTAGAAACTTTAAGAATAATATACTGTTAAATACCACATATTCTAGCCACACCAACTTTTTCTCATGGGCAAAGTTTTATCAGCCTGTTTATACACATACATTTTAAAATTATTTTCTCATGAATACATATTACACATACATAGACACAATCACAGAAAACATATTCTTACACAAATGTAAATAATACTCAGTAAATTTTACATAGCTTCATAAAATGATCATTTTTAACATTTCAATCATTTTTTTTCTTTCCTCGATTGCTTTTATTTTTTTTTAAATTTTATTAGTGAGACACCATGAGGTACAGTTGTAGACTTACAAATTTTTGTGCTTGGGTTTCAGTTATACAATGATCAAATACCCATCCCTCCACCAGTGCCCATTTCCCACCATCATGGATCCCAGTATCCCACCGATTTCAATCTTTTTTTTTTTTTGCTTTTTGGGTCACACCTGGCGATGCACAAGGGTTACTCCTGGCTCTGCACTCAGGAATTACTCCTGGCGGTGCTCAGGGGACCATATGGGATGCTGGGAATCGAACCCGGGTCGGCCGCGTGCAAGGCAAACGCCCTACCCGCTGTGCTATCTCTCCAGCCCCCCATTTCAATCATTTTTAAGAATTCCAACCATCATGGACTTCCCACCAATCCATTTATTGTAGGTCTAAGTCATTATTTGAAGCACTGCATGCTATTTCATGATATTAAAAATTATTCATCTATTCCACCATTGATGCTTTCTCATATAACAATAATTCTGTAAATATATATTGTTATATGAGAAATATATATTGTTTCTATGAAAATAATGGACATGTAGGGGCCAGAGAGAAAACTAAAATTAACTAATTTAAATGAAAATTGTTAGAATTAGAACCCAACAAAAACATGAGTTGCAGAGTATATATAAATAGAAGAACAGATCTTTATAAAGGACAGCTTAAATGGTTTTGAGATTAAACAAGATTTCTTGCAATTAGGGCTATGCTCTGGGGCTTCAGGAATAAGAAAACAAAGCAAAGCTGAGAGCCCATTCATGGAATTTCTCTTCTAAGCAAAGAGAGCAAGCTGACTGCTCTTGACAGGAGCTGGCTTGTTGGGTCTCCCCTGGAGGACCCTGTGTCAGAGGGTGCACGCAGAAGGCAGCCAGGAACTGTTTTGGTGAGCTAGAGAGCAGAGGAGAGACAGCTCTGAAGATAAGAGGTTGGAAAAGCTGAATCTCAGATGGTGCCAGACATTTTCAGAAGGAGAAAGACACATGGGTAAAGCCCAAACAAAGTCAGAACACACACTTTGCATATCCAGAAGGCAAAATACAGTGCAATCGACTAGATAAGGAATATTTTAGCAAACCAAGAATTTGGCCTCTTAAATGTGTTCATTTTGTTTTGTTTTGTTTTGTTTTGTTTTTTTTGAGGGGCCCACAAAGCTTCGACTATGCCCAAGACTTACTCCTCACTCTGCACTCATGGATCACACCTGTAGCTATTTGGGGGAACCACATGGGGTGCTGGGGATGGAACCTGGCTGGTTCACACTTTCCCTCTTATGAGACCTGTTCTCAGTCAGTATTTCTGACTTTGTTCCATAAGTAAGTGATTTTTATCACAAAGTACTTTCTGAACCACCCAGCCACTGACCTCCTAATTTGCATAGGTGAATGTTATAATTCATTTACTATTAATCTATATAATGTAGAAATTGATGGCGAAACAGAATGTGAACATTAAAAAAATAGCAGTTATGAAAAATATGCATAGAGTTAGTAGTGACAGTAAGCATCTATCAAAGAGGGTTATTTGTATTTCTGAACTTCTACCCTACATGTCACATGTTCAATCAGAGAACAAAATAGTGAAGTTTGCTCTCAAATCAGCTGCACAATGGGAAAAATACATATTTACTGTCTCCTTCTGAGATGCGGAGAAATAAATAAGTAAAAACATCTGAGAAAATGTCATTGAATTCCAGTAATAGGAATATTTTTATCCTTCAACATAATCAGCAAATTACTTATTTGGAAAATATTATGTGTAAAATACCACATTTTTTAAGCTGGCAACACAGGAAGATTTAGGATGCTAAAATTATTTTTTAAAAAGTAATGTCGTGGCTAGAAAGAGAATAAGTGGGTAAGACACTTGCATTGCTGTCACTGACCCCAGTTTAATCCCTGACATCACATGTAGTACTCGAAGCATCATTTTGAGCTCTCCCTGAGACAGAGCCAGGGTGTCTCTAAGCATCACTGAGTGTCCCAAAAACAAATAAGTAAAAAAGAGTCAAAGGAAAATAAAACAAGCAATAAAAGAATAAACAGAATAAAATCTGAAATAGAAAAACTGAAGACTAACAAATTAGAGAATAACATTAAATCAAAGAATGACTTAGCATATAAGCATAGTTTTCAGAAATGACCTTGGTGAAATGTACATGTGACTATAAAACATATATGTTCCTAAAACAAAAATCAGCAGATACTGAAGGCTGAGGTGATAGTAGATTGTTTAAAAGGAAAAAGTACAATGCAGTATAAATATACAAACCCAGATGAAGCCTGAATGAATTGATCACTGTTAGCATTGTCCCTGGACTGTACTAAAAACTGTGGAGAAACTTTCCCTAAAATATATATACTTGTCATCTATATTTTGTCTCTAAGGCTGACAAAAAGAAATTCCTGTGCAAGCAGGACAGTGAGGACCCCTGAATGGGAATGACTCAATGAAGGCTTTTTAATCTTGCACTTGCTTAGACTCTCTTAGAGCTTAGGGAAAATGACAAGGTCAAATTTTGGTGCGTGGTCAGTTAGGGATGATCATAATAGGGACAAATACGAAGGGTACAAAAAACTCAATTTGAGCACTAGTCATGATATCTTTTATATCATCTCTAAATACTTCCTAGTTCACAGTCTCATTTGTTCAAGATGCTTACACTTAATTTCAGGCCTATACATGCTTAACTAAAGAACACACAAATAACGTGGTGTTCTGAGCCTATTGACAGGTAGCCAGATAAATCCCGTTTTCAAAATTTTTTTTCTTTTAAAAATTTTTTACCACTCCTGGTAGTGCTCTGTGCATACTCCTGGCTCTGGACTCAGATCATTCCTGGCAATTCTCTGAAGACCATATGGACCGCTGGCATCAAATCCCGGTCAGTCGTGTGCAAGGCAAGTGCCAGACCAGCTGTCCCATTGCTCCTGTCTCTAGTACTTTTAAGATGGTCAGGATGGTACACAGGATAAGGCACTTTCCTTGCACACTGTTGACCCAGGGTTTGATCCTGGAACTACATATGGTCCCCCAAGCACCAGCAGGATTAAGACCTGAGTCAGAACCAGGCATAAGCCTGAGCACTCTGGGTGCTGCCCAAATTCCTCCACATACACCTGCCCCATGAAATTCAAAACAGAACATCCAGGTTCAACCAGCCAGAGAACAGAGGAGAAGTAAGTATACCAATATATACAAAAAGAATCCATGTAATCATCACTGTAACTCACTGAACTATTTAAACAATTTAAAATCTTGAGATGTGGTTTAGAACCTTAATTTTTTTGCAGATGAAAATCACAAGTGTACATACTTTATCAGATGGAAGAGGTAGATGAACTCAGACCACTCTTTTCCTGGAAGACAAAGAGGTATCTGAGGTTGATGGAGAGAGGAAGAGCCGAGATCGCTTCTCTGCCATCAGCAGGGCACAGCTCTCCCCTCCAATAGGGAGAGGCCCCTCAGTGTCTCTTCAAACATCTCCTCTCACCTGAAATGTAGGAAGACTCACGGTGCTCGCTGAGCGGCCTCGTCTGCTGGGATCGTGACTGTAGGTGGCAGTAATTGTGTCAGGAAGGAACAGCTACCTCTGGTTTATAACTTTAGAGACCTCTGATCTCATCTGCCCTCCAGAGCTGTGACTCTCCTGTCACCACTAGCAGCAGTCACAGTGACTGCAAGGGGACAGCGTGCTAATTCTCTGAAAGGATTTGTCCAGGGTATTCATTATTGTAGACAGTTACTACTGGGTAAGGAAAATGCCCAGGAGACTGTCAAAATTACCTTGAAGAGAAACTTTCCAATGACTTCCAGAATGATGGGAAACTGACGTCCCCAGACATTTTATATCAGTGGAGAGAGACTAATCCCACTTTACAGAGAGAATTATGGTTCTTTAAAGGCAAAATTGTCCCTGAATGGGTAATTCTGTATACTTCCTCACAAATAATACATACCAAAATCTTTATTACATAGTAAAAAATAACAATAAACAAAAATAGTGAGTGATAGAGCTGCTAAGGACATAGCAGAAAATAGACTTTCCCCCACCCACCAGTGTTATTTTGGCAAAAAAGGTGACATTTGGATTGAGGAAGTAGCTCCGTGGCAGAGCACTGGCTTTCCATGTGTTGGGGCCTAGATTCAATTTCTATAATCAAAAAGATAAAAATACAACCTTTGATGATACTCCAAACCATTGAAACATAAGTTAAATAAGCACATCTAAGTAGGTCTGAATTACACAAAAGGAGAATTGGGAAAGTCATGAACAGTAACCTCAGTGAACCACGGTTTTGAGGAATAGGTTTTCAGGGAAAGTGAGAGAAAACATTGTTGTGTTGATAATCTTATCATATAATTTTACAAGTGAAAAAAAGGGAAGGTTTTTGTGTTTGTCCTGCCCTCTGGATATTTTTGTCAACTCATCCTTAGAACTTTCTTGAACCCATTCATAAAACCTGGTTATCCTGATGCCATCACTTAATCACTTAATCACTTAACTTCCCGTTAGTCGTCGATTTGCTCGAGCGGGCGCCAGTAACGTCTCCATTTGTCCCTGTCGCGTGCTAGTGTAGCCCAATGGCATCTCTTCGCTCCGGGAACATGGA